TTTCATTGCAGTTGAGCACTTGCTGAGCGACGTACCCTTCCGCCTTCATGAATTCCGCTAATTCTTTCTTGTAGGCTTCTGCAGCAGCCTTGTCAGAACTGAAAGCCTCACCATGTCTTGTCACACCGTGGTTCCCACTTCTCTTGTGGAATTTATCAAACCAGCCTCTGCTGGCTTTAAATTCTTCACTTGCTGCGCTTGTAGAGGTTTTTTTTTGCAGTAAATCCCTGTGCAATTTCCTGGCTTTTTCACAGATCATAGCTTCACTAACGCTATCACCTGCCAGCCGTTTCTCATTCAGCCACACTAACAAAAGTTTTTCCACCTCTTCCAGCACGTGCGTCCTCTGCTTGGTTAACATCGTTACTCCTTTTGTCACATCAGCTCCTTTGATGGCATCTTTAGTCTTCAAAATAGTCGAGATTGTCGACTTCGCCATCTTGTACTCCGAGCCCAGATCAGTCACACAAATACCACAATCGTGCTTTTCTACAATTTCCTTCTTCTTCAATGGTTATTTTCTTCAAAACCTTATTCTTACCATGCTTGCTCTGCACTTTCTTTGGAGCCATGCTAACACGCACACCAAAAAGCTTCACAGGACGTCTGTTTGCTACCGCAATCTCGCCTACAGGAACCCACAACCACGTGTCAGCAGGGAAAATGGCCACGGATCCTGTTCGTCACCTGATGCAGAGTTTGCGAACGGAAGCAAAATTTTGCGAACGAGCTGTTTGTGACCCGAATTGTTCGTGAACAGAAGCGTTCGTGACCCGAGGTACCACTGTATATAAATATATCAGAAGACTACTCTAGGGCATTACTTTTCTTATCAATACTATTCAATAAATCTGACAATACATTGCAACTGCCTACTTCTACACTGTATGTTATTCAATTGTCAATCTGTATCTTTTAATTATACCTTTTGGTTTCGGGGCAGATCTTGAACACTTGCCGGTAGATTGTAATTCAAGACTAGCCTTCGAAATTCCAGCAAGTTAAATAATGACTGAAAAAAAGGAAATATAAATTTAGTATTACCTCTTAGGGATAAAATACATAGAAAATGTGTTGGACATAATCTGCAAAAAGTTGACTGAGAAGCAAATAATTGGTTCACAGGTTCACAAGCCCATACATGATGCTTTTTATTAAAAAAATAATCTGAAAAATTGAAACTGAACAAAGAATTGCTTAGTATTTATTCACACTGTAGTTCAAAAGGCAACTATATGATCCCAGCACAAGATGCTGAAGTTTCCAACAGGTGCTACATGGATGCCCATGTATGCTCTAAAGTCCAAGACAAAAGACTAAACAGATGTATTTTATGCTTGCTTGGAAGCCCATTAAAATTTATCATAAATCTATTCACTATTCAAACATATTTTTATTTTTTAAAATCTTAGCCAACAGAATTATTTTAATCATGGGATGGGATCTTGTATGAGTTGGAAAGCCCTACCCTGAATTCTGTTTGGATGTTTATGATTCCTTAGTAGTCATTAAATATTTTTTATTATTACAGTAGAGTCTCGTTTAACTGACCTTCGCTTATCTGACATTCCGTCTTATCCGATGCCCCTAAAAAAAACACAACACGCATAAATCGGCGACGAGAAAAGTGTGCCACTTGTTTGCGAGCGTGAGTGTACTCTTTCTTGTTGCTCCTGGCGGTGCAGCGCCGCAATGCAAAAATTGATTGCAACAGGCGCAGCGGATCGTTTTTTTTTTTTATCGCACTCAACCATTACTGTGTTATCCGACACTTTCGCTTATCTGACGTTCTGCCGGCCTGTTTATGTCGGATAAGCGAAACTCTACTGTATTAATTTACTCTTTTGTTACACTGTTTTACTATTTTAATCCTCTTACAGAGAAAATGGAATGTAAGATGCTCAGAGTCCTTCTGATGGAGATTGCCTATAAACTCCAATAAATAGATAGCTGCAATTATTTGGAAGTAAGTCCCATTGAATTAAAGTGAGAAGACATATTTAAAGCTACACTACGTATAAGCATAACTATAGGACTGCATTATAAGCAGCACTTAGCTTACCTTAACTAATTTCAAAAAACTAAACAAGGTAGAATCTGATTGGTACTTAGAGTGGAACCCATCAGGAAATTCTGTGACTGAAAGCTTGATTTAAAAAAAAAAAAAAACCGAGAAAAGGCAATAAATAATCACTTCCCTGTCATTGACAAGGAAATTAGGGAATATGTTCATCAACTCAAAGGAGACTTTATTAATTGATTGACCATATTCCAAATATGAACAAGTTTTTCTAAATTATATTCAACACATGGGACTTGAGAGATTATTTAGTAGGGGTACTTCTTTCTGGACATACAAATACAACTTTTTCAGTTACGCATTATATATTAGGGGACGTGGTGGCGTAGCGGCTTAATGACACTGAAACTTGCTGGCCAGAAATGGTCGACGCTTCAGCGGTTCGAGTCCAGCCTTCGCGTTAGCAGGGTAAGCTCCTGTTTCCTCCCCAGTTCCTGTAAGC